AATTCTCCAAATTCAACTATACCTTTCCAAAATTATGATGGAGGAAAAAAATTGAAAACCTGAAGGAGACATCACAAGGTTAAAACCTGACTCATGCAAGGAGGTGGGGGCAGAAGGAACTAACATGACCATTAACCCAGTCATGGAGACTCCTAGATCAGACTGCTGTAGGGAATATAAGAAGCACAGACCTGAGGGTAAAGATACAGAGATTGGGCTTTGTGAGATTCCATGTAGTTATCCAAAATCAGCAGCCAACAGGCCACTCCACAAAGGAGTGAGCCCCTCCTAAAGAGAAAAGGACTATATCAGGGGAGTCTGAACTGGCTTGGGGCAGCAGTCCTCTGCCCACCTGTGACTATGCAGGTGCTTCTTTCCACCCCTTCTCTCCGTCAGCGGAGGCCGCTTTCCTAAGGCTGCCTCAGTAAAGCTGTCCCTTTGGGGCAGCAATTCCTGCCTGCTTGTGTCTGTGCAAGTGTCTTTATCTGTCTCTTCTAATAAACCTGCTCTTTAAATATAACTGAGTCCTTGTCTCATGGAGAAACTCGCCTGGGGAACTTGCCAAGTGCTGCCGAAAGGGGAGCTCTGGTGAAACCTTCCCCAGAGTGAATCCAAGGACCCCAATTCCAAAAAATGACATCAATAGTAATAATAAATAATCAAGGCTATTTTCCCAGGCTATCACAGTACTGTGATTTAGTTCTTGGACTTTAGGAAAAGTTTCAGATAATAGAATTCCTTCACTTCATTAACAAAGTCATTAGCAGATTTCACATGTATGGCTACATTTGGAGGCTGGGGAAAGCAGGGAAAGCAGAAAGGAGAAGGTAAGCGAAATTAGGTATTGGGCATTTGGTAGATAAATTTTGGATTATTTGCTTATTCCTGTTCCCCAGAGTGATCTTTATCTTAGCAGAGGCCTCTGTCCAGTCAAGGACCCTGTCTTTATCCTCAATTCAAAGAGCCATCAAGTTCAATTTTGAAACCTTGTCTCTGATAAAAATAAAAGTTAGCTACCACAAGAACTAGTCATATTGGACAGTTAAAAAAAAAAATGCTACTTGGGCCCTTCCTGGTGGTGTAAGGAGTTAAAAGCATAGCATCATGAAATTTCCTGCTGCCACTTCAGAGCTAGTTTGATCCTGGGGCCAGAGAGGTAATCTACATGGCAGCAGACCTCTCCTGGCCTCCCACTGCTCCCCTCAGCAGTGTGAGGATCTGCCTCTTCTGCTCCCTGCTCTGTCTCTGATGAATCCTTTCACCGCTCCTCCTGGCCTGCACCCCAGTTCTGTATGCATAAATACATAAATCCTTTAAAAAAAAAAAAAAAGAGCCTCCCTGTTGGTGCATGGGTTAAATGTCAGCACTATCAAGCAATCACCAGCCATTGTATTATGAGTTCCATCCTGGCCAGGGAGCTGACCCACATGGCACAGCAGACCTCTCCTGTCTTGCCTGCTGCTCCCCTCAGACTTGTATTTCAGTAGGTTCATCTGTTCTGCTCCCCATATGGTAAATCCTCTCACCCTCTGCATTTCTGGGCTATACCCCAGTTCTTGTATGCACAAATAAATCTTTTTAAAAACTGCTACTCATTTTAATGGAAAATACAGAAAAAAAAACAGATGAATTGTTATTTTGTAGATCTATCATCTCCATCCCACAAAACACACACAGAAAACAATAACAAACAATCCAGTTAATTAATCTTTTAGCATTTCACAATTTTTCACTTTAAAAGTAGTTATAATAATATGTAAGTTGACATTTTGGCAGTTGCTGTCTGTGCTTGGAAATAAAATCCTATTTATATCATAGAATTTATTAGTTGTAAAATGAAACAATCAGGAAATCAGCAACACTTTGAGATCTGAGGCATAATGATTACAAATAGGCATTAATATTTTAAAAAGAATTCTTTTAACTCTGATGAATTAAGTCCTGAACAGAGAATGAGAAAGGAAAAAGAGCAATTAATGAACTCCTAGTATTATTTATACTTTAAAAAAAAAGATTTATTTATTTATGCATACAGAATTGGGGTACAGGTCAATAGTGCAGGGGCTGGGAGAGGATTCACTAGAGACAGAGTGGGGAGCATGGAGATGGAACTCACACTGAAGCAGTTGAGGCTGACTTGCAGTGCTGCATCCTAACCCCCTGTGCCAGTAGGGAGGGCCCTATTTATGATTTTATAACAGTCTTGTGAATTTTGTTACAATAACAACTACTATTACTCAGTTTGTCAAATCAAGGGCTATACTAGGGAATTCACATCTCTTGCATTTACCTCCACTGTAACTTTATAAGTTAAATATTCTTATATTAAAAATGAGAGAACCAAGGTTAAAAAAAATTAACCTAGTTGCCCAAGATTTTCAGATTTAAAAAATGTATAACATAGATTAAAACTTAAGTTTATCTAATTACAGATGCCATGTTCTTTCCAGTAGTTAAATTTTTCAGAATACATATTTCAAATTCAAAAATATTTTCGTTCAAATGATTAAGAATGCACATGGAAAGAAGCCTGCCAGAATGCCTAGTGTTCTAGTTCATGATCTGGGTGATGGTTATGTGGAAGCCTTCTGTTTGAGAAAGTTCATTGATGTGTTTACTTACCACTTGTGAGCTTTTCTGTGTATGTGTTACATGTCATAAAATGCTTCTTAGAAAGTCATTCATGCTGAATACTGAAGATGTCAAGGACAGATGAGCAGAAAGGGGAAAGCTCTCTACACAAAAGTTAATAATTTTAAAAGATGATTTGGTGTAGAAGGAAATGTTGGGAATCATGGTTCTTATTCTATTAAAGCAATTTTGGACAAATGATTGCTAGGAGGAAAATCTTACTTTAAAATTCATACTTTTACAAATTAAATTACAAATGATACACTACATGGAATTTTTTAGGAAAAGGATTGGTAAATTTCTTCAGAATTCCACCTTCACTGTAACCACTCTTAACATTTTGGTTTATTAAGTGAAGCGTATATGATGCAATAGATCATAAATAGTATTTTGTGTGTGAATTAGTCCTTGAAAAGAAAAAGGTATTTTGAGTAATGATGTTGAACTATAAGCTATACATTAACTCTGCTTTAAAAATTTCATTATAAATGTGTGAAAGTCCAAGTTATCTGTATATTTAATTATGTTTGATAGTCTGTTATAAAATGATTTGAAGTAATTACTGAATATCTTCAAGGGAAAATGTTTTTAATATTTAATTTGTAAAATTTCTTAAATCTTTCAGATCAAAAAAAGATGTCTGCTGTTTTATTGTCCCCTTCTTGGTAGGTACTTTGATAGGTCAAACAGGAATTTTGGTTTCTACCCTTGAGCTGTGTGAATTAATTACTCAAAGACTCATTGTGTTTAAGTTTTAATTTCTTTAGACTTTAGTTTTTGGAGTTTTAAAATGAGAGGATTGGGCAGAATCTCAAAGGACACTTATAGCAACAATAATTTATGACAGGGAATTTGGCTGGACCTATAGCAACCTTTTATTATAATAAAGAATGAATCATAGTACAAAAGCATTCAAATCTGGGAGGAGGGAGCTTACCACCTTTATTTACAACCAGAGCAGATACAATGTGTTTCCTGTCTTTTTCCCAAGTAGCCATGGGGAGAGGACAAGGACAGGATGTCCTTCCCTTACATGTCACTCACCAGCCTGTATCTTTAAATTTTTCCATGGCCATCAAGTTTGGTAGTTCAGATGTTCAATTCCAGAAAACAAAAGAATTATGTGGTAACTTGTTAGGGCCATAAAATAAGTGCTTATTTTCATTTTCAGTTGCTTTTTTTTTTTCACCCCCACCCCTGCACCTTTCTTTTATTATCTTTGCAGTGTGAATTTACAGTGATATAATTTCAGGGATTTTGGAGAAGGAAAACATTTACCAAGAGATAGTTAAAAGAAAAGGGCTTTGGTGTGCCTCTGATGTTGACAGTTTGCAGGTGAACCGTGGAAGAAACTGGGAACCCGACAAGTCCCCGGTTACCTAAGACAGCTCTAGGGAGCAGAAAAGGACTTTGTTCTTCAGGTAGTGTTAACTTTAAGGCGCTGTAAGAATTGACTTTGCCAATCTCCCTTTGATGACTGGAACATTGTCATTTATCTTTGTATCCCCAGTGACAGAACCTTCAGCCAAATACTTACTGAATTGAGTAAAAACTGAGCGGGAACAAGGTAGGAGAAAAGGAGACTGAAATAACAGAACCAGCGACATCTGAAACGTTTACAGGATTCACTACTGCAAGATGAACTATAGAGGGAAAGAAAATTCAGCGGAGCAGTGTTTCAGACGTGTGAATAAACTAGAATTTGGAAGAGCTGGAAGCTGTGTTGAGTAGGCGAGAGGCGTCAGGTCCTTACAAGGGAAAATGATCAGGCAACAAGTTTGAGCCCCAGCGTCAAAAAAGAAAGGCAGGAGTAACAGCGATGCTCAGAGGGCGGCATTGAAACGTTTCTAGGGTCAGAGGAGAACTGAAGTCAGAGCGGATGGGAGAGGCTGAGCCCCCAGTCCAGCGCAGGGGCAGGCCAGGTTCGCCTTGCGCTGGTTTCTTAACAGTACAACCAGGAAGCCCTAAAAGAAATGCAGCTCGGGCTGGTATTTTGGCGTGCTAACTTCCGTGTGTGTGTGTGTGTGTG